GAGAGAGAGAGAGAGAGAGAGAGAGAGAGAGAGAGAGAGAGAGAGAGAGAGAGAGAGAGAGAGAGAGAGAGAGAGAGAGAGAGAGAGATTGAGCGCCCAAAGTATTGAGAGGATTGGCTGCTTCTGAACTCTGGTGATAGCGGCCATAACAACATGTATTCAATTTCCTCTTTTTGTATAATAATAAACTTAAATAAAGGCATCGGTGGTCAACGACGCTTCTGGTTCGGTTCGGTTTGGTTTTGATTCGGTTGGATCATTGTTACACGCACGTCTGCATAGAGGTTTGGTCGTCGTATGTTCTTGATGCGGAAGGTTGACGACTGTTCTCGTTTGGTTCAGTTTGGTTCAGTGCGGTTTGGTTTCGGCTCCGGTTTGATCACTGTTACACGCAAGGTTCTTAGTACAAGGACGAGTTTATGGTACGGTTCATTCCTAGTGGTTGCGGTTATCAGCGGCTGATTTCGTCGGTCTCTTTCAGTGGTTCTAGGTGGGAGATTTTCGGGCATGATTTCACGTGTTGTTGCTTCTTGATTCTGTTGGCCAGCGATGGTGGCCTCGATCCTCATTTTGCATGGCACATGAATCGGTACTTCTCGCACGGCTCTAAGTACAAGGATGAGTTTATGATGATGCGTTTATGGTACGGGTCATTCCTAGTGGTTGCAGTTCTCAGCGCCACTCTGGTCGGTCTCTCTCAGTGCTTCTTGGTGGGAGATTTTCGGGCACAATTTCACATGTTGTTGCTTCTGGATTCCGTTGGTTATCGATGGTGGCCTTGATTATATTTTGCGTCGCACTTGACGAAGTGGTACTTTTCATGGGATGATTGTTTCGGGTCCAACTTGCGGTTGTTTTCATGGGTCGGTTTCGTTTCAGAACTTCAACAAGAGAGGCGGATAGAGGTGGAACTGCCAAGCAGCGAACCCAATAGGGGATGGGGATGATGGATGATGGCGAGCTTGAGTGATGATGAACTGTGATTCGCCACGCTTTGGGTTTTGAATACTGCTTGACAGTCTCGGCAGTTGAGGGATGGTGAGGGAGGCACACATTTTGCGAAGAGGTAGTGACTGTGAGGAGAAGTATGAGCACCAATGTGCGTTCTAAGGTCGGATTCGGTTCCGAGGCCTCTTTCCGGTGATCGTAGGTGGTCACATATATATGCTCGCGGTCTGCTGACTACCTTACTCTTGTCGCCGTGAATACGGTGTTGTCTGTTTTGGAACTATATTTCCAGCAAACTAAAAAGAAAAAGAAAAAAAAGAAGAAGAAAGACATCGGTGGTGGTTCTCTAAGTTCTCTTCTCCATGCATGCTGATCTGGGGTATAATGTTGGGTTGTGAAGTCTCGGTGAACATAGAGTGTGCTTGGAGTTGTGTATCGAGTGCCTGCAGCTGTGGTTCATTGTGTGTCTGTGGTGCATATGATATATGGGCAATGACATACATTCGCTGGAGTGGCTTCCTGGCTCAGCAGGTGGTGGGAACCAGCAGCCAGTGGGGTTCACTTCTGGTGTGAGTAGGTGAGGAGCTGCTTTGGTCCGTGTTGGATGAGTTGACGGCCTTGTCTTCGCTCCTCCGCTGCCTTGCCAGCCATCCCGCTTCCCATGTCTTTCCTTGCAGCTGGTTTGTTTGCTGTGTAGCTCGGCTGCTTTCTTGGTACGGACTCGTGCTTCGCTGCACTGTTGGCCTGTTGCCTTGCTGGACATATACGCGCCTTGTGTTTCCGTACAATGTGTTTGTGTGTTGTGTAGTTTGGTTGCTTTGTTGATGATGCCTTGTTCTTCGATGTGCTGTTGCCTAGCTGCCCAGTCTTTCTTGGCGGCGCACTTGTTTGCCTTGTAGTTTGGTTGCTTTGTCGGCGCTGCCTTATGTTTCACTGCATCATTGCTTCGCTGATTGTGCTGCAGTCCGTTTGGTTTCAGTTATTATTGAGGGTTCAGCCTGCTGACGAGTGGGTGCAAGTCCACGCAACAATCCATGGTCATCAGTTCTATTTTCTTTTGCTCTTCGTTGTATTGCTGCTGTTTTTGCAGCTACCGGTACTTTGTGCATTTTCCCTCACTGCGTTGTGCCTTGTGCTGTTTGTCTGCCCATTCACCTCGCCCCTGCTGCTTGTCGTCCAGCACACTGTTGGCTCCCCTCCCTTTGCCCTACTGCCTTTAGCTTTGCTGCCTTATCTTTCCATGTTGCCGGAGTTGCAGCCTGTTGCCTTACCGCCTTTTGCCGTGCTGCCTTTGGATTGCTTCCTTTTGCCTTGCAGCTTTATGCCTTCGCCGCTTGTGCTTTGCTGCCTGTCCCTCCCTACCTTGTGCTGCTGGTCTATATCAGGTGCTGTTTCTCGCTATAAGCAGAGTCTTTTGAGAAATCGTAATGCATCTTTCTAGCTCTTCGACTATGCCCTTCATTGTGACTTGTCTAGGATTGCAGACCTTCCTTCTTTTTTCGGTCTTTCATGTACGCACTTGTCCATGCAATTCACCACGATATGATCGTGGAGGCTTCTTCCCCCATCAAACACACATGCACACACACAAACACACCCCTCCCCCCTCGACCCCCTCTTCCCTCCTTTCCCACAGGCACACGCACGGCATTTGCCAGCGTGACACTCCTCATCGTGAACAGTAACCCTTCCCTCCCCTCTTTGCATGCTGCATCTTGGGACCCCCCTTCATGCTACACACATCCCTTTCCTTCATGTTTTGTGTGGAAAGCATTTTGTGCATCATTTACCCCCTCCCCCTTCTTGTATGTAAAGCATCTCATCAATCCCCCTTGGATTGCAGACATGTCCGCTCGCCTCCTTGGGGTATCCACAGACATGTTTGTAGCCCCGGCACTCTCAATAGACATGTTCGCCAGACATATCCGTACGCCCAGGGGGAGATGATAGCTGACACAGCCATTTGTCCGCTAGACATGTCACTCTTGAACACCTGCATTTCTGGGGTTGTTTGCCGAATGTCCGCTGGTAACTATGCTTCTGAGACAAGGGACGTGAAAACTCACCTCGTGCTTGCATCGTGTCCCAGCATTCTTCCCGAATCCGTTTACGTACTAACATTTTCTTTGCGTTTTGCAGCATCATCTGGGAGAAACAGAGAAGATAGCACAATATGGCCAATCATAATCGAGTAGAATGGCTGCCACCAATGTGAACCTGCTTGTTCGAAGCGGAAAAGAGGGCTCCACTGACATGAAGGACTCACCTGACCCATCTTCCAACCTGTCCTCATCGCCAGGCTGAACTTGACAAAGTGTTCGTTATACACGGACAATTTTGCTCGAGCTGGCAGTCTGAAGGAAACTGAACACAAAATATGTGAGGCTTTACTTTCACACAGGATGCAGTGTACATAGGTGAAGAACCTTTCGGTCGTGACATCTCTTTTCTTCCTCGTCCGCTTCGGCAATTTTGCTGAAATATACCACACAGCATCTTCCGAGGAGCTTTATCTCAGTGGGCTATCGTCTTCCCCCGAATAGAACATATGGTCATTATGGCTGTATCTAGACTGGAAGTTGACCCAAATACAGGCATAACGACCGTACGTTCTATTCGGGGGAAGAAGGTAGCCAGAAAGGGGGTGCAAGCACTACGGGCGTCGTTAGACACTTCTCGGGGACGTGAAACCCAAAAGGACGAGCCCGTTCCACCTGTCCTTGGGGACGAAATTGAAAAAGAAATGTGAAAACGCCACAAGGAAACTTCCTTCTGGCGTCCTTGTGGCCCCAGCCAAAATTTCCTTATGGAGCTCAAAGAACCGTGATTCACGGAGTGGCGAAGACATGCGTTGACGGAGAGTTTCGGTTCTTGGATGGTCCAGATGTGGTCCAACGGCGTTAGCACGCACATCCCCGCCCTCCAACGCTGCGTAGTCCCCCAACGGCCCCCAAAGGCTACTGTTGGTGGTGGGCCTCCATCGGGTGGCGTCGTCGTTTTCGGCATCATGCGGTCTCCCGCGTTCAAGGAATGTCCGCAACAGTCGGGAAAATATTTTTTCCCCGGCGCCGCCTTCAGTCCGTCCACGGAAGAGGTTTCTGCACGAGCATCGTATTCCAACGCGTGTCGTCACGTGCTGCACGTCCGACAAGACTCTTGCCGTCGTGTGCTAGACGTCCGACAACAGACGTGGCATTGCTACCCTCTCCACCCTGCAGTTCATGGACGACCTGTACCGCAGGCTCTGTATGCTGCTCCTCGTCCCTGTGCTGCTTCTGGTCGTCCCTCTGCTGCTCCTTGGCGCTGTGCTGCTTCTCGTTGAATAGTCATCAGTGGCGCCGTCGCATTGTCGAAGGTCTTCCCACGTCCCCCCCCATCCTGCGTTTGATCCACCACCTCGGTGTCACTCGTCGAATGATGCCGCAACCCAACGTGTTGCACAGCTCAATGACAGCCTCCAAAGTTGCCACGTAGTTGGGGCCGTCATCCACAGCTTGCATCAGCGTCCTTCTTCTATGCGCGCGCAACTGCTCCTTCATTCATCTCAGTGCCCTCTCCTGCTGACAACGAAGAACAACAGTTGACAAGGCCGCCACCACGGCTTCCCGCTCAAGCGGTGTCAATAGCGCACGTCCGCCCTCTCCGCCGCCCTCCATCGCCACCACCTCCACAGGAATGACGTCTCTCCGCTGCCGTCTCGATACTCGCACCCCAGAGACTTAACCCGCTCACCCCTCGAGGAGAGGTACGAGAAGCTGCCGCCTTTCCGTGGATGCCGTCCCCCTGGCGGATCTGTGTGACGGCGCGGAGGACGTGGAGGAGAAGCTCGACGATGATGGAGGCACCTGGTGCACGCACGTACACTGACCGGGAGGTGGGCGGAAGGGATGTTGCTGCTAAGGCCAATTCAGCCCTGCACCGTCTGCGCACCACAAGCCGAACATCGTCATTGTCACCACAGCCATACTTCAAATTTTGAATTTCAAACATAGAGGTCCCCCTTTTTTATTTTATTTTCCGTGGCCTGCCTCATGCCCTTTCCCACCGGACGTCGCTGGACCACGTCGTCCCCACACGGACACTGGACGCTGGGGCACGGACACCCCCGCCCGCGGCCACGTATTTTTGCATGAAAATGGCAGCGGGCAGGCCACAAGGATCGTCCTCAGGGGACGTCCCCAAGGATGTGTGGAACGACGCCGAAAATTTCCCTTGTGAGCCACAAGGAAAATTTCTTGTGGCTCAAGGAACTCATAAGGAGTGTCTAACGACACCCTACGTGTTAGGTTTTTTCGTTTCCTTTCAACACAAATCCCCTTTAAATTCTCGTGGGGACCACTCCTGACGGGCACAGAGAGAGCGTTCAGGAGAGTAATGAGGGATGGGACGGAAGGTGGAAAGCGGGAAACTAATTAAGGTACATGTACCCGTTCCTTTCCTTTCTGCAACTGTCCTGCCATATCCTTCTGTCTCGAGTCCTAGCGTCTTCTCACCCAATTAGAACGCCCGGTCATTATAGCTGTATTTGGTGAAATTTTCAGTCAGATACGGCAATAGTTAGCAGTCGTTCTATATTGGGTGAAGACGGTAGTGTCCAACAAGTTGTCAGAGTTGTGAGTTGTGAGTTATGGGGAAGAAATGAGATAAGTTCTGTAGCTGCCCTAATGGGGAAGAATGCCCAGAGAAGTTGTGACCACAAAGTTTTGGAGAGCTGCAAACTGAAAACTGAAAACTGAAAACTGAAAACTGGAAACTGAAAACTGAAAACTGAAAACGGAATTGAGAACTAAAGAGTAAGGTAAGTGAGGGCATACTCACAGGAGGACTTTTTTTCCTTTTTTTTTTTTAAACAGGTCCTTATGGGCCCGGCTCCATTTCCATTCTGGGGAGCATCAGTCCGGTTCCTATTCCACCGGCAAGTCCATCATGAAACACACTCACGCTTCCTTCCGTCCGGCCGAAGGATCCCTGACCAGCATTGATTACTCCAACAACGTGGAGGATTGACTGTCAGCTTGCCTTACTTCCTCCTTTCCTCTCAGGTCTACTGTATGACCTGTCAGATAAATGATAAAAAGCAAGAAAGGTAAAAGAAGCCACTATACCTTTCTCGGCCTTTTGGCTAAGATCAAGTGTAGTATCTGTTGTGATCAGTTTAATATCGGATTCGTGGTCCATCGGGCCACATTAAAAAAAAAAAAAAAAAAAAAAAGAAAAAAAAAAAAAGAAGCCACTGAAGATGCAAAATCGGATTACGCCCTCCAACATTATGCGACCTGTGACGAAGCTAGTCCTTCTGCAGGCCGGGAACTCTGCCTTCTCCTCCGTGCTTCTGAGTTCTGCCAGTCTTTCCTTTTTTTTTTCCGTCATCGCCACATGACCCTTTAGAATCTCTACCGTTCTGATCTCCACTTACCTTGACTTTGTGTAATCTCCAGCCCCTAATCCCCAAACCCTGCCATACGAACTGACTAAACCCTAAAGCCTAAACCCTAAACCCTCCAACGCTAAGTCCTACCTCACGGGTCTGACTAAACCCTAAACCCTCCAACGCCCCCCTCCCTTTTCTATGGTAGCCTAAGATCCGGGGTATCCAACGGATCCCCCATGGGTATCCCTTGTTGTCCCTCTTGGAACCAATGGAAGACCAGCCTAACTCCCTTTTTTTTTTTTTTTTTTTTGAGGATCGACTGTCAGCTTGCACTGCTTCATCCTTTCCTCTCTGGTCAAATGCTATAACTCGTCATATAAAACATGACTCACGAGAAAAGTCCTAGCAGATAGCAACGCCACCTGTTTTGTCTAAACTGTAAATCCCCTATATGAAGCCCATCAAAATTTTGCTATTCTGAAGAATCTGAACCCTATTTGCCCCTTTTTCATTTCCGTTTCATCTCCTTCTTGGCTGGGCTCACTTTAATTTTTATGGACTTTTCTAAATGTATCTGACTGCATCTATGGCCGGACCCAGATGAATCTGACTGCAATTGTGTCCACAGCGTAGTGCAAAAGGTCCTAGCGTGAGTATGCCCTGAGAAAATCAGGGAAGACCTCAGGGTTGTCCAGTTGAGGGGGACCAAATTTTCTCTGGTCATGCACTGAATAGTCGTATCCTAAAACATACAACAACTTGAGGAATACCTCTCTTTTTTTTTTTTTTTTTTTTTTTTTTTTTTGAGAGAGAGAGAGAGACAATGCTCCAATCTATTCGTGGGGAGCAACACGGCTGGGAACCGGGCCCAGTGTCCCTTATCAGAATACAAAGATGAGCTACCGGGGCCATTACCCGGCTTCGGCTAAGACCAATTGAAGAACAAAAATTGTGTGTCAACAAGCCTCCCAACCGCAAAACAGATAGGTGAAACCTACTCAATCCACCTTCAACCACCGCCAGCATGGCTAAGGAGTATATTATGAAAAGTTGAAAACAACTGGCTGCGTGTTCATATTGTAACTTTGTGTGTATATATTATTGGTACATTTCTAAAGTTCTAAACATACATAGTAACATAACTACATAAGATTAGTTGTTGTTGTTTTTTTTTTTTTTTTTTTTTTTTTTTTTTTAATTATTATTATTTTAAATAAGGTACATTTCTAATACACCCTATCTCTAATTATGTGAAGGATATTTATGGTGGTTTACTAGTTGCATGGAGTACCGGGAAGTCTGAGCGGGGGGCTTGGCAATTGTTCTTCGTTAGGCTCTTGGAGAAATGCGCAGACAGCTCTGCCAAACTCAAAATGGTTCTCTTGGAGATCAAAGGGGACAAAATGTGGAAATGCCCTCCATGCTTTGGTAAGGAATGAGAGCTCCATGACAGGTGTGTGTCGAGGCCATTGAATGAATTGCGCATGTATTTTTTGAAGCGGCAGTTTTCATTGTGGCGTTCCTACCGCCTGTTATCCTTGTTTGGCGGTGTAGCAGTTTGTATTTTCTGGGTATTTCTAGTTATGGTGGCCTCCTGTTTGCAGTCCATGAATCGAGTACCTCGCAGCAGCATACATGATATTATTTCCCATTTGGCCGCCATGGGTCGGCAGATCGGCGCTTTTGTTAGAACTGGAAGGTAACTGTGAGGTCATGTAGCCATTTGCTATACCTATCCAGTCGCCCCTTCTCATTGCGTTCAGATATTTATACCCTTTTCCTCATCAGTGTGTGTGCGCGTGTGTGTGCGTGTGAATGTCCTTGATCCCAGCTGCTTATGTGTGTTTTTCAGAGATCCCCAAAAATTCTCTCCTTATTACAACCACAAATCATCACAAACCATCCATAAAGCAAAAAAGGTATAGATAGGCGATATAGTAGAAGATGCAAGGTTGTCCACATTTACGTGGTTAAGCAGCAAGTGCCCACACACCTGTCTGCCGCCGGAGCGCACACGTGCACAAATATATTATATCATACTCTTTAAACCACCGGTACATGGCCCCAGGCAACTGGAGAACCTGTTCTAAGTCTCTCCTAAAATTTATGAGGCCGAGCGCCGTAGATAAAATGAATCCGCGGCAGGCGGCCTCCGAAAGGGGCCCGTGGCCGATAGCTGGCATGTACCGGTGTGCTTTGAAGGGGTCAAGGGCATAAGGCAAAACACTGGCACTGATACTATTCATCTCGAACGACTCACTCATGTCACCGTCATCTCCATCATCACTCCATGGCTAGACAACCTCCCTTTCACTTTGTTGTCTGGCCCCTGGAGTGTATAGACCCCAACAGAAAAAAAAAACAATAGTTGCACCACAGCACAAAAGACTACGCACCGACCACGCTGCAAATAGTTCGAAAAAACTTAGAAAGCTCTCCGTGTCAGCCCACAAAGCTACCATAGATCATACCAAAAAATCCACAAGAGCTCCACGCCAGGAGCGCTACTGCTTAAAACACCGTGGAAGCTATCGTTTCTTCCACGTGCTCCAAAGGAGCATCCCGTGGGAATGACACCCACAGCAAACACTCTCTGAGCCTCCTCGCGAAAATACTGTGGCCAAAACCCTAAACATAGATTCCCACCCCGAAAAACGTGTGGCCACCCACAGACATTCCTTCATAAAAAAGACAGCCGATGCTCTACAGCAGGGCAAAGAATTAGGACATGTATATAAAACAAATGACAACCAACAAAACATCCAACCACAAAAGAAGAATAGCTCGCTAGTACGAGCTCGGATCTGCCAAGACAGAGAGCTTGCAAGCCCGTGTGTTCTCATGTTTGCTACACACAGCTCAACATAACAAGGCATGGCTGTGCCAGACTGTTTCGTCAGACTTTCACCGACTCATCAGGAGGTTGAATCCCCGACAGTCTGTGCAGGATGCATTTTGAAATTTTGACCCATGGATAAGGACTCACTACGTCGCTTTTACTCGCACCAACCCTGCAAGTTCCATGTGTGGTGTGGCGGGCGCAACTGCACTGCACATTCTCCGACGTGCCCCACTCTTGCCACACGAAAAAAGCCTTGGTGGAGCTAACCACTGACCTGATGTCAGATTGGCTGCTCTCCGGCTCAAAAAAAAACATGACCGCATGAAAAGAGAGCAGGGTAACAGAGACCTAAATTTTCAGACAATTTAATATTTATCATGCCATTTATAACAAAACCCAAGGGTCATTTGAAACCAAACTTGCCACCAATTCATAGACTGGAGACCATATTAAATAATTGCACAAAAAAAAAAAAAAGGGCCCCTATAAAACAGCAAGCCAAAAGTGCACTTTCATCGAGTTTCATGCAAATTTCGCCAAAATTCCAATTTCAGAAATCTTTAGAGCCCATTAACCAGGAGCTGAAAGTGGGGGTTCCCGTTAACCACTTGTGCACGAAAAGGGTAGGCACTCTGCCACGCCCCAACGTGCAATTGGCTGCTCCCCACCCAAACGCAACGTAACCACAATCACATGCGCAATTGCCTGAAAAAGACCAATGCACTCCTCCAATTCATAATTGGCTATGCACCACCCTCCAGAAAAAAAAAAAAAAGTGTCGATTCCTTCCAACAGACAAACAATTCGTGGTTGGGCACACCAGAGGGGGGGAAAAAAATTAAAAAAAATGCAACGTGGACCACGTGGTTAGCCACACCCAAAAAAATTAAAAGTGCAAGGTGCACCACATGTCAGGCCGCACTTCCCAGGCAATACCCGCAGGGCCGCAGAGTCTTGCCGAACAGTGTCACATGCAACCCAATTTATGCTTTAAACCACCAGTACTTGGGCTCTGCGCGCCGCGCCGGCCGCCCAAATCTCGAAGCAGCGCAGCGTTAACGCTAAGGCGTCGCCCAAGTACTGGTGGTTTAAGAAGTTGTATATAGTATATATAAAAAAAATAAAACAACTTGTATGAGTTGATCGGAATTGATCCCTTGAATAAGTTAAATAATCAAATTCCTTTTACTGCACATTACTTCATGTTAGAACAACATGTATGAAAGTATGAATGAATCTCTTGTACCACCCTTTGCCTCGTACTAAATAGTTTTGTTAATTTTACGAACTAATCAGAATCCAGTCCGTTTCCTGGCTTTAGTACCTAGGCTGTTTTTTTCCGGGCACACAGGCACCCAACTTATGCCCGGGTACATGGCCGGGTGCCTGGTCAGGCATGATGACCCCCGGGCAGGGTTCCGGGCAGCCCCAGCGCCAAAAAAAAAAAAAAAAATCAAAAAATTCCGGAAAAAAAAATATGTTGTGCAGAATTGTAAGACAAGCGACTTTTGGCTGAGGGTCACATCAGAATTGCTCACAGAATCGGAGGCAAAAAAGAAAATAACAGAATCAGGCTAAGGCACCCCCCTTTAAACCCCTTTAAATTTTAAAACCAATTCATACCCCCTTCCCCCCCCCCCCTTGAGAGCCAACTCTCAAAAAACGAAATGAGCCCGGATTTGTGGTCCTCTGGGAGAGCACAGAAAACCAAAAACGATTTTTTTTTGCTTTTTTTTTTTGCATGCCCGGCTGCCCGGCTGGGTCCGACAATCTTCCTAGTTTAGTACCGCATTTTACCTCATATTTCGCTCTCTTAACCTCCAGCTGACTCTCAAGGATAAGGACCTCCTTCCTTTTCAGGTCTAGCACAAACTCCAGCTGAGGAAGCTTATGTAACTCTGGCACCTGTATAAAATGCATCCGTATGACGACAGTGACCACAACACCCGGAACAGCAAATACTAATGAGTCGTAATGACCATCATTATGACAGCCAAGAGTACAGTCCCTTTTTTTTTTTTACAAGTTCCATCACAAGGTGCTAGGAGTTAGCAATGTGCTATGAATCGCCAAACTTCATGCACAACAAGTATGTGCTTGCCCTTGTTCTTTTCCTCTTTCGCTCAAGTGATGCGGATCTTGAACCTTTTTTTCTTATCTTTTCTTTTTTTTGTAACAAACCATTCATTTATTACTCAAAAGAGGGGGGGGGGGGGGGGGGGCCCCCCACATAAAGACCAGATCTGGGTGCTTTACCCGGTGTTATGCTTTTGACGAGGCCACATGGAGCCGGAAGAAGACGTGCCCTTCACAAAGTAAATCCTATACACCATCCTTTCGAACCTAAGCCCTAAACCCTTTTGTTCTCAGGTATACTTCCTTCAATCTAGATTCGGCCAACTCGCGATTCCTCTACCCCTCCATCCTCCAATTCTTATCCTCTCTTCCCTATGCCCTTCTTTTTCCGGGAACCCTCCCCGGGGTCATCCTTTTAAATGGGCCCAAAAGAGTCCCGCGAATGAGATAAATTCAGAGTGCTCCCCACTATTATCTATCCTTCCTCTCTCTTCCTAAATCGACGCTGAATTCTGCCTGTTTTCGCCTACTCCAAGGCTTACCTGCCTTCTTCTTTTTCTTTTTTCAAAACAAAAACACTTCCATTGCTTAATTTGAAAGAGAGGGGCTCGCCACACCACATAAAGCCCGGTACTGCTTTTGACAGGACCCGTAAGAGACCCGGAAAGGATGAAAAGATAACCAGCGTTACCCTGATAACGCCTTCTCTCGAGCTAAGACCCTATACCCTAATTAGTAATTCCCCTATTGCTTCTACTGTCCTCCAAGAACACCTTATATCTACTTACTGCCCTCTTCTACCAAGCCTATCCCAGACCATTCGGTTCCTTTTCGACGACTACTTAAATATCCCCTATATGGGACCAACGATTCTGCATCCCTAATAAGGTCTGAGACTGGCTTTCTCTAAACCATAGGAGCCGGCCTTCTATCCTACATCCTTGTGTAAATCTCGGTTAAGTAAGTACCCTATGTTGGTCACCCCCTTTCTGGTTACCGAATCCTTCTGCTAAACCCTAAACCCTGGGGATGGGGTGCTCCGTTTCAGTGTTGCCCCAGGTCTGCACCGTGTTCTTGAGACCGAGCTGAACTCCTCCCCCCATCCCTTGCTGACTCACCCTGCTGCATTCCGGTTGATGTGAGCTCCTGCTGCTCTTCCACAACATCCCTTTCCATTTAAAGATGAGCCTAGGACCTTCCATTGATGCTATTCTCCCTTTGCCAAGGCAGATTTGCTCAAAACGTCTCCTGATTTTGTTCCATCCGCTCCCTTGTTCTCTTCCATTGCGCACGGATGTCTGTTTCCAATAGGCCGATCAGTGTGCTTCTCGCTTCCTGCCTGTGCATGGGCCTTCCTTCGATGTGCCTTGGCATCTTCTCTTCCATATGGTCCATAGGGCATATTTCTTTCTTTCTTTTTTTTTTTTTTTTTTTAACTTGGACCATTTCCCGATTTATGCGTGTCATCCTTGCCCAGGGGCCATGCTAATCTTCTCTGCATCGTTCCAATTTTAACGGATGTCCCGAAGGACAGGCATATTTCTTTCTTCATTCGTCAAAAAATGAAATATTTACTGTTTAGTATTTACTAGTATTTACTATTTACTGTTTTACTAGTGTTTAGTCTTTGCACAATAAGAGTGTGACGTACCTCTTCATTCATCTTCTGAAACTGGAGCACCTTGGAGCGGAGAGCTGCAAGCCTTGCTCTCACAATAGCCTTCCCAGATACCAGTGTCAACTCTTTCCTAACGCAGAGAGTATGCCATCAGGTAGCCTCAGCAAGCCAGATCGATCAGACATCAGAGAATGGTCCCATCGTGAGCATTCAAGAGCCAGCATGCATTTGAAGCAGCAGTCAGGACTCACAACAAGGCTTTCCTAACCGTTCTTACTCCCATCAGTACCATGTCCACCTGCTAACACGGGGCTGCTCAACTGAAAGC